GCTTGGGTCCTGAATGATTAGTGCTCTGAGTATTAGCTTGACTAAAGGGATTGGGTCACCAGACCCATCTCCTATTGTTCTTAAACTTGCAATGATTAGAGGTATGACCGAGTTTTTCACAATTAAAATATGAGGGGTTATTGGAATTTTCAGAGACTTTTTCTCCTCTGATTTTAATCCTCCAATGGTTAGAGTTATGCCCATTTTTTCCACAATGAGTACATGCAGAAAGATTTCTAGTTCTAGTCGGAGATTTATGACGAGTAAACTGATTTGATCTAACTGAACTATGATTGATGGATTTTCGCAATCCATTCATTTGAAGTTGAAGTTCATTAACTTCATCTTGAAGCATATCTCTCTCAATTTCACATACTTCTAACTTCAAAGCCCGGTCTTTCTTTTCTCTTTGGATTTTTCGAAGTTCATTCAGAACTTTCTCAATATCTACAAGAGCAATATCAATAAATTCTTGGAGTTCATGATCATTAGGACATGTAGGAAGACGTACCTAACTTATTCATTCGTCTGCCATGAGACCAAGTTCACCCGAGTCTTCATCGCTATCTTCTTTAATGGCCATGAAGCACATGTTGGCAAGTTATTCGTGATCAGATTCTTCTTCATCACTCCAAGCTCCAAATGATTTCTTCTTTTAAAAGTTCCTGCTTAGTTTCTTTTTCAGTTCAGGGAATTCAGCTTGAATGTGTTTATGTTTTCCACTCTCGTAGCATCTTCCATCATTTTTGTCATTATCATTGTTCATCTTCCCTTTTCTAAAATTTGATTTACCTCTTATGTTGTTTCTGTTTTTCTTCATCATGCTTGTTACAACTTTGGAAAGCATAGCTATGTTCTCATCTTCTTCTTCTTCTTTTTCTTCTTCTTCTTCTTCTTCTTCTTCTTCTTCTTCAGCCACATTTGCTTTGAATGCAACTGTCTTCTTCTTTTCTTGTTGAACTTGCCTATCTAAGTGTGTTTTCTCAAACGCAATTAGATCACCTCTAAATTCATCATAGGACATTTTGTCAAGATCCTGACATTCCAAAGCAATGACTTTGGGTTGCCAAATTGTGGGAAGACTTCTCAGAATTTTTCTGACTTGTTCTCCACTTTTGATTGGTCTACCAAATGATTTTAAGTCTCCGTGAATTTTGCTGAACCTGGAAAATATTTCCTCTACTGATTTTCCATCCTTCATTTGAAACAATTCATAGTCTCGAACTAGGAGATTGATCCTTGTTTCTTTCACTTTGTTGGTTCCTTCATATGTGACCTCTAACTTATCCTACATTTTTTTGCAGTTTTACAACTTGATATCTTTTCATATTCTTCTCCGCTGATAGCATTGTGCAACAGATATTTTGCCTTAGCATTCACTTGAATAACGACTGATTGTTCTTCAGTGTAATCATCTAAGTCAAGAGTATCAGATGATATTATGATTTGACTGTTGTCGTCCTTCTTTGGCAGAATTGGAAGATTTTCTTTCTTGATCATGCGCCAAAATTTAATATCATATGACATAGTGTAGGTCTCCATGCGCACTTTCCAATGAGAGAAGTGCTGACCATTGGAGTAAGGGGATCGTACCTGAGAAGTTCCTTCTTGAAATAGTGCTCCAACGACTGTATTTGATCCCATGATCTTTTCCTCACTTGTTGTTAAGCAATGTTAGTGAGTCTTACTCTGATACCAATTGAAAGTACAAGAGAGGGGTGAATTGTAACTAATTTAAAAACTTAGTCGACTTAGAAGAGACTTAGTCGACTTAGCTTTATCAGCAGGTTTGATTGACGATGAAAATAAATTGCAAGAAATTTAAAGGCTGAGAACACATGAGTTTTATACTAGTTCAGTACCGGTATGGTACCTACATCCAATTACCTTGGGTCACCAGGGTTCTCTTACATTTTCAATGGTTGGTTTCAGTAGCAGTGGTTTTATGGATCATTTACCACCAACAATTTTCGGCAACAATATTTTATAAACTTGACACAACTCTTGTTTTGCTTCCTAATACTTCCTTTCTCTTGAGAAACTAGTAAACTTAGGAATACAGTGTTTGTGCTAAGAACTAGGAAGATATAGAAAACAGTGGTAAGTTGCGTAGTTGAATTTTTGAGTTTGCCAGTATAACGACCTGGTCAATCGTTTCGAGAGTTGTAGCCTCATTTTTCCCATTTCTGCTTATTTATATGTTGTCCAGCTGTGTTGAATTGAATCGAGTTGGTAGGTTTGGGTTCGGAGTAGTTTTGGAATGAAATGAATACTTAGTCTCTTAGTTAGAAAGTTAAGTTAGAAAAGTCAATCGGAAGTTGACTTATGAGTAAACGAATTCAGATGTGAATTTTTATGATTCCGTTAGCTTTGTTGGGTGATTTTTGACTTAGGAGTGTGTCCGGATTGTAATTTGGAGGTCCGTGGTAGAATTAGGCTTGAATTGGCGAAAGTTAGAAATTTGGCGATTTTGGTCAGCAGTAGAAAATTAGGTATCGGGGTCGGAATGGAATTTTGGAAGTTGGATTAGGTTCGTAGTGTCATTTTTGATGTGTGTGCAAAATTTGAGGTCATTCGGACATGGTTTGAAAGGTTTCGGCTTCGTTGGCGAATTTTGGAAGTTTAGAAGTTCTTAGGCTTGAATCCGAGGTTGATTTGGTGTTATAGTATTGTTTTGGGTGTTCCGAAGGTTCGACTAAGCTCAGGTAGTGATATGTGACTTGTTGGAATTATGGGTTGAGGTCCCGAGGGGCTCGGGATGATTTCGGATGGGTATCGGGGAGTTTGGAAGTTGGAAAATGCAGCTGAAGCTGTTGCTACTGCTATTTTCGTCGCTGGTGCGCAAGGGGGTTCGCAGGTGTGGGCAGTGCTGGGATAGGCAGGATGCGCAGGTGCGAGAAGGATATCGCATCTGCGAGCCCGCAGGTGCGAGACCTGGGGCGCAGATGCGTAAGGAAGGAAGAAGGATGGCTTCGCAGATGCGGCGTGTCACGCGCAGGTGCGCAAGCGCAGGTGTGACAGGTTGGTCGCAGATGCAGAACCTGGGCTCATAAGTGAGTTCCACACCTGCAATGGAGTTTTTCGCAGATGCGGTTGCGCAGAAGTGAGAAAGGGTCCACAGGTGCGGAACCCCTGGGGCAGAACCTATAAAAGTAACCCTTCGCGAATGTTTGCCCTTTTTCCACCATTGTTGAACGGTTTTTGAGCTTAGGGCAGTGTTTTCCAAGGGAGAAACAAGAGATATCACTGAGGTAAGTTACTTGGGTTTATTTACGCGTGTTTTTAATGATTTTCTGCTGATTAGCCATGAAATTAGTAGGGGTTTAGGGTGAAATTGAGGGAGTTAGGTTTTGAGTTTTGGAGAGTTTTAAGTAAGGATTTGAGGGACCAAACGGAGTCCAATTTTGATGAATTTTATATGGTTAGACTCGGGAGAGGACGAGGATTGTTATTCTGCCATTTTTGACTAGTTTCGAGATGTGGTCCTGGGGGTCTGGCTTTAGCCGATTTCGGAATTTTGGTCTATTTATGTAGTTTTTATTGTGTAATTCGATTCGTTAGCCTATGTTGATAGTAGTATTCTGATTTTGGTTAGATTCAGAGCTTTTGGAGACCGAGTCCAGAGACGAGGGCATCCCGGAGTAGGATTTTACGCTGTTAAGGTAAGTAACCGTTTTAACTCTGGCTTTGAGGGTATAAACCCGGAGATTTGACATCATGTGATTGTTTGGAAGTGATGCCCATGCTAGGTTAGGACGTGTGGGTGTGCACCGCGAGGTGATTCAGACTTGGTCCGTCCCATGAGGCTGTGAGACCTAATGGCTATTATTTGTGGTTATGTGTTTATTTATTGTTGAACTTGTTTGCCTTCATGTTAGAGATCAAACTTAGGCTTTATTCATACTCATATTATTTGCACTCAGTCATAGATATTATTGTACATGTTTACGTCAATCCCTATTATTTTGCTGATATGATGTGATACTTGACGTGGGCTGTATTTCCCTTATTTGTTTATGATGGTGAGGCTAGAGAGGTACATGACTGAGTGAGGCCGAGGGCCTGTTGTGAGTATTTGATTGAGACACGTGAGGTGTCTGTGCAGCATGTGAGTTGTCCGTGCGGATTCGGGTATTGATACCATAGCGCGTGAGTTGTCCGCGTAGAACGTGAGTTGACCGTGCGGATCCAGGGATTTAATATTATGGCACGTGAGTTATCCGTGCAGCACATGAGTTATCCGTGCAGCACGTGAGTTATTCGTGCTTAGCGCTTGGGCTTTGGGATCCCCTCCGGAGTCTGTACATACCCCCAGTGAGCGCAGGTACGTATTGAGTGTTGAGTGCGATTGCCGAGAACCGAGTGCTGAGTGATGGAGTGACATTGCTGTGAGGATTCATTGCTTTTGTTGTTGCTGCATTTTACCCGTTAATTTCTTTGTAGCATTTATTGAGTTGATGGAATTTACCTGTTTATTTTTGTTTATTTTAAATTGTGATAAAGAAGTAATTTAATTATTTTACTTAGCTCATCACTACTACTCAGTTCCTTAGTTATTTCTTTTACTACTGAGTCGATTGTACTCACACTACACCCCTGCACTTTATGTGCAGATTCAGGTAAGTTAGAGCACGGCAATCGTTGAGTTCAGGCCGGCTATCGTTAGAGACTGCAAGGTAGCTGTTTGCGTCTGCAGGACCTTGTTACTCCTTTTATCATTTCTTATTTTGGACTGTATTGACAGTTAGACAGTTTTATTTCTTAGTTCATAGATTTAGACGCTCATGACTTAGTAACACCCCGATGTTTGGGGCTCGTTTTCATATTTTCTATAATTATATTTAGAGTTGATTTAGTTTATGAAAAATTCAAATGTTGAAAATATTTTATTAAATTCTTGTAATCGATTTAGTAGTAATATTTTGGGAAATAGGCTTGCTTTGTAACACGATAGGCGCCATCACGACCATGGTTAGATTTTTGGGTCGTGACAGCAAGTCTTCATATATGAGAGTTTTAAGTAGCCGTTGCAGATTGACCCTTGAATGATGCACAAAATATTCTAAGAGTTTTAACCCAAGGGGTGCCTCCGAATCCTGCTCAAGAGATGGGCTGGATTCATTTACGTCCTTCCTTTTCGTATTCATAATCAGGGGAGTGATTTGTGGCTTGACTTGATTGATCAATCTTCTGAATCTCCAGATTCCAAATCAATCCTTGAAGTAGGGACTGTCTTTCTATAGCGATTGCGCTTGATCTTGTTTCCTTTTTTATGGCCTTGACATCCTTTGATTTAGCATTGTCCTTGCTGCATTTGATCTTGTTTCCTTTATGATATCTTTAACATATTGACTACCTTTGATTTAGTACTGCTTTCCTAATTTCCTGCAATTAAATAGATACAGTTAGATTTATATTATTGTCATCATTGAAACTTAGGTATAACAAAGTCTATATATATAAAATGTCAAATTCGTTCAAGTAGTACGACGATGATTCATTCTGATAATATTTTTCACGTTAATGGAATAAAGACTTGCTCCTTGAGTCCTCTCTCAAACATGGACCAAGAGCAAATAGATTGACACATAAAACATTTCTATTTTGTAGTAGTTGTACACTGTTGTATGTTATGCAAAAAGATTCTGCTTCAAAAGCCCTGGGCTCAGTTTATCCTTTTCTTCATTTTCTTACAACTGTGGTATTCTGCAAATTTGCGTGCATTGGTACCTATTATCTTCTATCTGTAAAAGTATCAGATAAACTTAAAGTATAAATATCGTACATAGTTTTATTATAACATTCATTTAGAGCTTTTTTTCTTCATCTCTAGCAAGTATTTAACATGGGTGAATATTTCAGAAAAGGCTACTAACTAGAGTAAGGAGTGGCCACTGCTAGCAAAGGTGATTTCCTACGAACAGTGATGCCAGTGCCTTCAGTCATATCCAAATCCCCANAAAGCTGATTTTGTGTGTTGGCACATATTCGGAAAAGCTTCACCACACAAACTAAAGGAGACGTTCGACCGCAATTATCTGCATTGCATGACAAAAAGGAACCAAGATACTTGCCCTGCTTCTAGCTAGCAAATAATTACATTTTCTTTTTCTTTCTTTTTTGTTCTTTTCATCTTGGTTTCCATATATAATTCCTTTCTATGTGATAAGGAAAATGAAAAAATCCCAATGCGTTCATTTCATATTATATTTCTATAAATAGCTAAATTGAAGTCCACAAAAGTAATTAAAAATTGTATACGATAATGTTCTTTCATTGAGGCACATTGTTCTTCGTTTTCAACGATACATAAGGCCATAAGTTTTTGTTTGCTTTTTTCCATTTTAATTTATATTGATTTTTTTTCATCTTCTACTAAATTGACAAAATAATAATACAATTTCGCAACAAATTTTGGGGCAATCTCTCATTATAGTCAAGAGTGTAATAAGTGTATATTACTCCATATTACACACTAAGATAATAAATAGTCCTTCCCGATAGCGGCATCAAAAATTTATTGCGGTCAAACGCACATGCAAGTATACGCGATCGTCAAGTAATAGGTAATTAGAAGTCAGATGTTGAAACTTATATCCAACTATTAACTAAATTAGATTATCCTAATTATTTAGATAATGATCATACTATATTATAAGGATGAAGATCAAAATTTAAATGTGAAAGACCAAAATGACCCTATAATATTATTGAATTTTTATGCCCTTAAAATTTATATTAATAATACCTTCAATATTAATAAATAAAATAAGTAAACTACAAAAGTTATTTTATAATGTTAAATTTGCCTTGAGATTGTCAAAGAATTAATTAAGGTACATGTGTCTAAATTCTTCGCTTTATAAAGTTAAGCTATTTACGGTTCTTATATTTTATCTTCTCCTTTTATCTTTCTTAGCTTAAATATTCAGATTATTATGATTTCTAAGTGCAATTCTTTTCTTATAAATGCAATCATAATTTAAAGCGTCTTACCATCTATGTACAAAACGATATAAAATTTTCAGTTTTATACTAATTATATGGAATATACGTACAACGTGTGTGCCCAACGACTAGTTAAACTCAAAAGTGGTGATACTAAACTAATTAAACTAAAAAGAAAACACTAATAAACTCTAAACAAAAGTAGAATAGGTTTTTATGTTATCAATATGATGAAAACGATCTAGGATTATGAGCTATCTAACAATCCTATAGTATTCTTCACTTAAATTGACTAATTAATTTATCTAATTTATTAGTTGACATGGTTAATATTGCTCATAAGAATCTATCGAGTTCTTACTCGTTTATTCAAGCTAATCTAACGCCGATATGTCTATGGAGTTAGAATCAATAAGAATGCATTCATAATTTCCGAAATAACCAAGCAAGGCAATTAGCATATGTCTATCCTAACAGCGAATTTGTTCCCCGATGCCCAGATTCAAGAACCTGCTCCACTCAATCCTATCTAGAATTCCCGATGCCCAAATTCAAGAACCTGCTCTACTCAATCCTATCTAAAATTCTCACTTTCGAGTTCATAAACTAAAGGAGACGTTCGACCGCAATTATTTGCATTGCATGACAAAAAAGGAAAACGTAATCTAACTTTAACCACAAAATTTGTTTCGTACGATGTACGTTCACTAGATAGTTGATAAGCAACTAATATACTTGCCCTGCTTCTAGCTAGCAAATAATTACATTTTCTTTTTCTTTCTTTTTTGTTCTTTTCATCTTGGTTTTCATATATAATTCCTTTCTATGTGATACGGAAAATGAAAAAATCCAGCATAGTTATGAACATGTTGTTTGTGTTTTGAGTATTTTTGAAGTAAGGCATAAGTTAAGGGAAGTGTAAGTGATTGCATATGCTACAGTTTAATTGTTGCTATCAACCATGGTCATTGGTGTAGTGTGTCTCGAATGTGTAAATATGAAGTGCTCAAGGATAGTGTAAATTGTTGGTTGACTCGAGGATGAGCAACATTTAAGTGTGGGTTAGTGATATTTAGCTATAATTATATATATTTTTAGTGCGTTACCTACCTTATATTTTGGTGCTTTAATACTAAATTGTACTGTATTTAATTGAGTTTATTTTATGTGTAGGTATTTTATGATGAAAATTGTAAGCAAAGCAAATATTTTGAAAGTATATTATATGTATTTAAATGATTGCATGCAATTGTAGACACAAGAATTAAAGAATTGAAGGTTTGGAGATTACCTATTAGCACTCAAAAGCAACGAGCTTCGAGAGAAAAAGTTAGGCAACAATAAATTGGATAAGTAGGTGAAGCGAGACTTTCTGCTGGCGTTTGAGCTAGCGAGGCACGGTTTGACGCGAGAAGCTTCGCGCGTGACGCGTGATCCGAGTCTCAAGCCTATTTTGTCTTCTTTTTTTATTTTGAATTTGGTTATTTTGTCTAGACATTTTCCCTACACCTATAAATACTCTTTAAACACCATTTCTTAGAGAGATTGGACGAAGGGAGAGCACAGAGCCGCCGGGGAAGCTGGAATTCATCAAATTACATTTTTCTTCCATCAAACTTTGTAAACTTTACGTTTCTTTGAATGAATTATTGTTTTGCTACCATGTCTATGTGGAGCTAAACTTCGTATTCTTGGGTTGTGGTTGTCATGAATGTTGAAATTTATTAATTATATTACTGTTAATTCGAGTTATCATCTTTGGTTGTTTCTCTAATTCTGTGCATAATTGCTTAATTGTTTGACCAGCAGTTGAGTTCTATTTACTATTTATGCTATGCTTGGGAGAGTAAAAGTAGAGAGAGCTTGTTTCTGAACCCGTGGCACGGGGAAAGATTTCGCGGTTAGGTTAACAGTCTTACTTAGTTGAATACCGTATTATATTCGTTCTTGATAGATTCAAAACTAGGAATATAAGGTTGATATATTATGGATAGACAGATAGTATTGTGGGAACATGCTATTTATATAAACGATCCGGTCAACTAGCAATCATAGATAATGTGGATTAACATGTGTAATTACGAACCCAATAGGATTGGCAAACCGACCACAGCCCTGGAATCTTCTTCTCCTTTGATTAAAATCTAACCATAATCGCTTACTCCTAATTAATTTAGCTAATTACTTGTTTAATTTTCGCAATAGTAGTTTAGTAGAAAAATAATATTTTTTTATTATCTTGGACAGTAAACTGACTTTAGTTTGCTTAGTTAACGATTAATATAAGTCTCAGTGGGTTCGACATCCGACTTTCGAGTCACTTTATTATTTAATGGCCACGTATATTTGCATGTACTTGAGAACCAACAAGTTTTTGACTAGTCCGAATTTAGGGAGTGTTACAACTTCATCCTTTATACTTTTAAGAGAATGCAACCCAGCCCTCTGCCAAGAACAAAAGAACACCAACATTTGAAAAATTCTGACCAACATGAAAAGAGAAAAAAACTAGCAAGAATAAAAAAATAAAAATTAAATAGCTTAATTAGCTTCAAGATTAGCTGAAGCCTAAACAGATGGTCAACGAATACACCACATGAATCAAGAAAAATACGAGACAGATCAATTATATTTATTTTTAAAAACAAATTAAGTATTCATGGGGCAGATTAGCAAGTTAGCGTCTACAGTGGGATCAATAATTCAACAAGTAGCTGTATATCTATTTTTTTTAACAGAACAGACGAAAAGTTTTCATCACCCAATGCCTCACGTAAAATATCAGATTTTTCTAAAGATTGCAAGAAATACTCATAACCTTAATAAAGATTTAACACATCCTTGACAGTTATGTATAAAATGAAATCTCCATGACTTAGAACTAATCTCAAACGTTGACACATATCTAGTTTTTCACGTGAAACTAGCCTTAATCCTTTTAGAAAGCCACAACCTCAATGTAAACGAAGCTCTTCCTTGTTTTATTTATCGAAAATGTTGGATTTTCAAGTGTGTAAACTAAGTTTGAAGAAATTTCCTATTTGTTTTTTAAGCTAATCGAGAATCAGAAATTAGTGCTACATACACCCTAAAACTATGTTATTTCATTGACTTAGAATTTGTAAAAGTGTGTTTCTTTTACGTGTGTGGAAGTTTGTCTATTTATTGCAGACGAAACTTTCAAAAGGATAGAGCACAACTGCACAGAGAGATGGTAATCGCGCCATAGGTGATAGGACTGTAGTTGGAAATTATCTCCATCAACTAGAAATTTTGATGTTTCTTCTTGATCCTTTATACTTTGTGAGAATGCATCCCAGCCCTCTTCCAAGAGCAAAAGAACATCAACATTTGTAAAGTTATAACAAGCACGAAAAGAAAAGAAAAACAAGCAAGAATCACTAAAATATTACTAGTGAATAACGTAGCTGAAGAAATGTTAAAGAATTCACCACGTAAATCAAGGAAAATACATGACAGATCCCAATTATAGAATTATTTAAAGAAACCAAAGTATACATGGTGCAAACTTGCAAGTTTGCGTCTAATTCAACTAGTAGCTATTAATTTCTGTAATAGTATGTGTAAACTAATTACTATCTCAAAATCAATTCGAGAAGAAAATGGTGGTGAGAGTACACCAAGTACTTTTTTGCATTCATCATCCTCCCATGGTTAGTACTAACTTACAAGGTCGTTTTTTTTTTAATTGGCTGTTTCTGGCTAATGCATAGGACGCGTTTGCTGCGGGTGCGGATTCAACATATACAGCTCTAGAGTGGACAATGACTGAGCTTTTGAGGCATCCAAGAGCCATGAAAACATTACAAAATGAAGTGCGAGGACTAGCCCAAGGGAAATCAGAGATAACAGAGGATGATTTAGGAAATATGCAGTACCTGAAAGCCGTGATCAAGGAGAGTCTCAGACTTCATCCACCGTTTCCACTACTAATCCCTCGAGAACCAACAGAAGACGTAAAATTACTAGGCTATCACATACCTGCTAAAACTCAAGTCATAATTAATGCTTGGGCAATCGGAAGAGATCCGTTGTCGTTAGGGATGGCAATGGGGCGGGTTTGTGAGTTTACGGTTGGGGGACGGGTTCAATTTTTAACTAAAAACATCACGCGGGGCGAGAATTTTATTTTTTGAACTAACAGACATAAAGGCTAAATATTATATTCTTGAGCGGTCTTAAATAGGAAACATCAATCAAAAACCAAAGACTGTTTTGCTAGCATAAGTTGGAACCAACGACAAACTTTTGGCATAGATTTTAAATTTGCAGATGAAAGTCATTCTAGAACCATTGTAAGTTATAAAAATAATTGTATACGGTAATGCCATTGAAAATACAAATACAGTAGTGAATTAATGACAGAACAATTACATATGAGACAACAATAAGGATTTCCTTCAGCTAATTTTTATTGGCAAAAAAATCACCAAAAAAGAGAGAATTTTTATTAAAAAAATTGTGGGGCGAGGCGGGTGGAGTGTGGAGCGGGTGGACGCAGTGCGGGGCGGGACGGGTTGAAATTGTACGGGTTCAGACAGAACCCGCCCCGCACCTGCACCCGCACCGCCTGCCATTACTAGTTGTCGTGGGATGATCCAGAGGAGTACCGACCAGAGAGGTTCTTGAATAGTAATATTGACGTCAACGGACTAAATTTTGAGTTGATTCCCTTCGGAGCAGGCAGAAGGGGCTGCCCAGGACGTTCCTTTGCTATTGCGGGGATTGAGTTAGCATTGGCAAAGCTTGTGCACAAGTTCAATTTTGCATTACCGGAAGGGTTAAGAGAGGAGGATTTGGATATGACTGAAAATACTAGCCTCACTGTCCGTAGGAAATCACCTTTGCTAGCCGTGGCAACTCCGTCCTCTAGTTAGGACTTCTTTTCTCCAATTTTTACAACTACCAGCTACTACGGTAATAATTTCAGAACCAGTAATAAATGTACTGTTCGACTTCCTTTTTGGGTGCTTTTACATCTGCTTTATTTTCTCATATGTAAGACTTATTAATCAGCCATCCTGCCTTTCCATATCCTACACCTTACTAGAATTTCTTAATGTAAATGGGTGTGTACTCTTGCACTAGATATCGAATGTTCACTGTAATTCTACACACTCATTTCTTCTATGTATGTGGTATCTCAAAGCAGTGACCATAGAGAGCCTATGATATGGCCAAAAAAAACATGTACGTACAAGCTAAGTCCTTATTAATGCTTGGGCACTTGGAAGAGACCCTGCTAGCTGTGGGAAAATTGGAGTAAAAACGAAATTTGTCACACCCAATTTACCCACTTCTTGTGTCGTGCGAGTGTCTGCTTCAACAATTATATTATATTTGTTATAAAATATAGTTCAAAGTAACAATATAGAACAAGGAAAAACAAGCTAAGAGATATAGAGAGAAAGAGAGGAGAGATTCTTATTTTTTCTTCAATTGTGTGTATTTTCCTATCTATTACAAGGCATTTATATAGGCATGAAAAGTGAAGAAAAATATGTCATTGAATATGTCATTAAGCATTTGAGAAGATCATGGAGGAAGAGTAAACATCCACCATAATTTGATTTTTCTTATAACACTCCCCCTTGGATGTCCATAGATAATATGCCTCATTAAAACCTTATTAGGAAAAAACCCTATGGGAAAAAAATCCAGTGAAGAAAAAAGAGTACACATGTTTAGAAATACGTCTTTTGGTTGCCTCGTTAAAACCTTGCAAGGAAAACCCAGTGGGAAAAAATCTTGTAAGGTAAAAAGAGTACAACGTGTATTAACTCCCCCTGATGAGAGCATCAATTCACATCCTTGAGCCTTCGCATCCCAATCTTGTATACTAGTTTCTTGAAGGTTAACGTCGGTAGAGATTTAGTGAACAAATTAGCCATATTATCACTTGAACATATCTATTGCACATTGATATCACCATTCTTTTAAAGATCATGCGTAAAAAGTAACGTTGGTGAAATGTGTTTTGTCTTATCCCCTTTTATAAATCCTCCCTTCAATTGGGCATGCTGCATTGTCTTCATATAAAAATGTGGGTAGTTTGTCACACTTTAAACTATATTTGTCTCGAATAAGGTGTATTATAGACCTCAACCATACACATTCTCGACTTGCTTCATGAATAGCAATTATCTCAGTATGATTAGATGAAGTAGCCACGATTGATTGCTTAGTCGATCGCCAAGATATGGCAGTGCCTCCATATGTAAACACATATCCTGTTTGAGATCGAGCATTGTGTGGGTCAGATAAATACCCATCATCGGCATAACCAACAAGATCGGACTGCAATCATTGCCATAAAATAATCTCATATTGGTAGTCCCTTTTAGATACTGCAATATGTGTTTGATTCCATTCCAATGTCTCCTTGTAGGAGCATAACTATATCTTGTTAAGACACTAACTGAAAAAGTTATGTTAGACCTTGTAATGTTAGAAAGATACATTAGTGCACCAATTGCTCTAAGATATGGTATTTCGGGACCAAGAAGCTCTTCATTATTTTCATGAGGTCGGAATGGATCTTTATTTATATCGAGTGATCTCACAACCATCAGGGTACTCAATGGATGTGCTTTATCTATATAGAATCGCTTTAAAATCTTTTTAGTGTATGCTGATTGATGGACGAAAATTCCATCTTTCATATACTCAATTTATAGACCAAGATAAAATTTTGTCTTTCCAAGATCTTTTATTTCAAATTCTTTCTTTAAATAGTATACTGCTTTAGGAAGCTCCCTAGGAGTTCCAATGATATTTAAATCATCAACGATTATAACAAATTTAGATCCAGATCTTTTTATAACGACACAAGGACAAATTGAATCATTCTTGTACCTTTCTTTTAACAGGTACTCACTCAGGCGATTATACCACATGCGCCATGATTTTTTCAATCCGTATAAGGATTTTTGAAGATTTATTTAATAAATTTCTTGGAAACCTTAATATGCTTCAGAACAATTTAAATCCTTCAATGATTTTCATTATACGCATATCACGTTTTTCTTGTATTGCCAGATTAAAACCTGAAATGGCGACATACACCACTAGAGAATATGTCTCTATATAATCAATGCCAGGATATGTACAAATTTTCTTGTGACACAAGTCGTCTTTTTGTCTATAGACTTGACTTTTTTTTCCGCACAAGAACACATTTATACCTCCACTGGCTTTATACTTTCAGGTGTTGGGACTATCCGTTCAACTTTATATTTTTCAGGTGAAATTAATTTTCATTGCGTATTTTTTATTTGGCCAATCATTTATCTGTCCAAATTTTATGACAGATTTGAGCTCAAGATCCTCGTCAATATTAATAATATTGAGCGCTACATTATATAAACAATATCGTCGACGATCATTTTAAATCGGTTCTACTATTACCCAATAAAGACATAATTTATTGAGATCTCTTTATCTTATTATTTTCAGGTACTTGAGCCTCTCCCATGAGGTCTTATGAAGTGTTATGTCGTGGCTCTCTTCTAGATCACTTGCCTCCTTATTATGACCATCTTGAACATTTGTTCATCTTCTTCTTCAAGGAGTTTTATCTTTGGAATCGAGTAGTCTATTATGCTGCATGCATGCCATAGACTCTATTCATTATGAACTTTATTTTATTTGGAGCATTAGCAGCTGAATATGATATTTAGTTTTGGATCAGCAAATACGCCTGGAAATATTTTGCAAATAAATTATTACTTGAACTTCAAGTTCATTTTTTCTCGTACGAGTATTTATATGTACTCATAATAATTCATTACATGCATTACTTTTTCAACTGCCCATTTTTTCCCTTATTGTTAAGATCACCAACACATATCCCTAGCCTTATTTGGGGACCCATCTTTGTGTATTGTAGTGGAACAATTAAATCATATAACACATTCATATTTCTAGATAAAAAATTATTTGGTTCCTGACCCTGAACCGATTGTGATAGGGAGAACTTATCATAACTTGGTTAGATGTGTACAAGTGTTGTTGTATATTAAATAATACATCACATATCAAATTTTATTTTGGCAGTTTTATTCTCATAACCAATGATTTAGATATAATTGGAAGCATACAATTTCTGCTAAACCGACTTGGATTTAAACTAGTATTATCAAGATAAATCATCATAATTTATATTCTGGAACTGTGCTCTAATAATTTGAGCAATCAATCTTGCAAAAGCCAAAGTGCAAGTTGATAACAAATGCACATGTGACCATAGAATAGATGCATCTATTAAAATCATATAATAGTAAACGGTCCACATGGCAGGTAACTGGGCCCATATATTTATCACTTTTTATTTGTTCCAGAAATTAATGGATTCAATCCCAACCTTAACTGGCATATCATGAGAATAAGCAGCACAAGAGAAATCTTGAAGAATCTTCTATTTCTTCAATATATGCCAATATAATTCTCAATTAATTTTTCGCATCATAATTGAACCGGGATGGTCAACCGGTCATGCCAACTAATATTTGTTTCAGTAAACCTCTAGTTTACTTGTGACATTATGATTCCATCACCATACTTATATTTTTATAGTATAAATAGAAAGAAAATCGGGTAACCTTTCATATTTACCCATTATGATTATAGAAATATGAAGATATTCAATATTCCTTTCATTTATAACCTCAATATGCCAACCACTTTGACTTATACATTTGAAACTCAAAAAGTTTCTTTTGAAACTTTACAATATCAATGTCGTGAATAATTTTATTCATCCGGATAGTAAAAAATTAATTTTTTCGGAGCTCTTAACAACTTTTATACTACAAGATCTTTTGTCACACCATTCATATGGTAAATGTCTCCTTCACGAAGAAAATTATATCATAATAAATTGTCATGGTAAAAATCATCATAAGCAAAATTATTTCTTGTTTTAATTTTGCCTTTAATAATCTTTTATAAGGCACAACAAAATATATATTATTTTGGCGTATCACATGTACGCGACCAATGACATATTCATGTAACCACACTATAATATTTATTCTCTTTATTTCACTCAAACCTTCCTTAGAGGTGAGTTGTGTGGTATTCATCTAATCATGCATTCCATGTCTTTATTCATTACTTTTATCACATATTGCCACATTCACCTTTAGGAATGGGTCTGCATTCTCAATGTTTATCACAAGCCACATTCTCTTCAAGGAATGTATCATAATCAGCGGCGTACTTTATTACTTTTTATACCAATTTGATGGTAAACATTGCCTTCACATTTTTAAGGACTATTTTGAGAACCCTTACTGTTCTCCTTTTATAATCATAGTGATGATTATTATTATTTTGATCTTTGGAACGCCCACGTTCATTGTTCAACCACTTTTCTTCATTTAGATGTATTATGTGCCGCTACCACATTCACTTCAAGAATGGAGCAAATCAAGTAGGACAATATTCATGCCTTTCATGAAAAATATATTATTTTTCTTTAGTTATTATTATATCATCAATATGGTATAGTGGGACTCAAACCCAATATCTTACCAATATAAAGGCATGTTAGACCATAATGAATTGGGACTTAAACCCAGCTCTTATCATCATGGAGCATCAGGACTTGATCCTGATGTCTTCTCCTCATGGTGCATTGCGACTTGAACTCATTGAAGTTGATATCATTAATAGCAAAGGACAAAAATAATTTCAAATACGAAGGAAATGCTTACCTCTTGAGTTAAACTCTTCATAATGTCATTTGGATATAATCCTCAACAATAGACTTTCGTTTACTCAAATCAGCTAAGTAATTAGTGTCAAGCAGATATATGAAAATACAAAAGAATATTAAAAATTCACATGTGGTCTTTGCTGCAATAAGCTTACTTCAAGATGAAAGTTATATGACCAGAACATTAAGAAAAAATTATGTATCAAACAGAATAATAGTACTACTAGTTATAGCAGAACCTTTAAGTCAATCAGGGAATCAAAACAATAGTGGACAAATCTATGTCTACTATCTACTACTATATGTTTTCCATATAGAAATGATTCAACATGTTAATTTGATAAAAACTACATCAATGAAAAATTTGGTTTAGTACATACTTCTTGTCCTAATATTACAAATATTATTATTATTATTATAATTATTATTATTATTATTATTATTATTATTATTATTATTATATTATATTTGACAGTAAACTAATATATAATTATTATACTAGGCATACTAAAATCGTATTATAAGGTAAAATTAACCATAAGCATACATAATAAAGTATAATTTTAATTTCGTAGATTATTTAGTATACCGCATGTCACCTATTATTTAGTTCATGAAAATTTAATAAGGTGACATCCTTAGCAGCCGCATAAATACTAATTTTCTAATAATCAGACAATTGCTTATTCTAAATAGTGGTACAAACTTATCCCATTTAAAGCTTGGACTTGTTGTTGTAGCAGAAAGACGTGTCTGTAACACTACATACCTTTCTGAATAAAATCTAGATAATTTTGACAATAGATCATCGAGATATACCTTACCAGAAGTGGAATTCAACCTTGAGGTTAGAGATTTCATGCTGATAACGTGTTATAAAATATAGCTCAAAGTAACAATATAGAACAAGAAAAAACAAGTTAAGAGATATAGAGAGAAAGAGAAGAGAGATTCTTATTTCTTCTTCAATTGTATGTATTTTCCTATCTATTACAAGGCCTTTATATAGGCATGAAAAGCGAAGAAAAATATATCATTAAATATGTCATTAAGCATAGAAATATGTCATTGAATATGTCATTAAGCATTTGAGAAAATCATGGAGAAAGAGTAGACATCCACCATAATTTGACTTTTCTTATAACAATATTATTTTTATTTTTTTAATTTATTTAATTTTTTCTTCTCTGCCAGCTTACTTAGTGTTGACAATTGTATACTAGCACGAAATTTGGCTGCTTCTTTGACGTCTCTTATGCATACAATTTTCCTACAGGAGCTTAAGACGACAACATATAGCTAGTCAGAAGTTTTCTCAGTAGAGGCCAAAAGGTTGGATTCTAATAATAATAATAATGATAATAAATATAGATAACGTTGATAAATCCTTGACTGAATCCAGGAAAATTTGAATATACTCCAAAAGTTTATTTCTATGTGCGCGCTCTAGCTGAATTATTAAAGCTCTCATTGAACTTACCACAAAAGTCTAGAAATAGCTGAATTATTCCTTAATGTACACTATTTTTAGTCTTCTTCTGAAATTCAGATTTGTATCTCCTTCTGTTCTTGTGTTTGAAACTAAGCACATAAACAATATGTTCAGCTCCTTGCAATGGCTAGAGTCATTGTCCTTCCATCCATTTTTGTCCTCTTTTTTAGCCCTTTCACTCATTTCCTTCCTTGTTTGGTGGCTCCTCATGACTAAAACTAAAACCAAAAATCTTCCCCCTTCTCCCCCAAAATTACCATTTATTGGTCACTTGCACAAACTAGGCTTGTATCCTCATCACTCTCTACACAAGTTAGCTCAACAATATGGACCCTTAATGTTTCTTAAACTGGGAAGTGTGAATACTCTTGTTGTTTCCTCAGCTGAGGCAGCTTCCGAAATAATGAAAACTCATGACCTTATTTTCTGTGACAGGCCTAAATCCAACATCAACAAGAAACTTCTTTACGACTTTAAGGATGTTTCTGTCGCGCCTTATGGCGAGTACTGGAGACAAATGAGAAGCATATGTGTCCTTCAGTTGCTTAGCAACAAAAGAGTTCAATCTTTTCGCGTTGTAAGGGAAGAAGAGGCTGCCCTGTTACTCAAGAAAATCAGGGAGTACTGTTCTCCAGAGGCAGTGAATTTGAGTGAATTGTTTATGACACTTACAAATGATATAGTGAGTAGAGCAGCTTTTGGGAGGAAATATAGTGGAGGGGAGAGTGGAGAGAAGTTTAGGAAGCTAATGAAGACATTTGTGGGAATATTAGGTGGATTTGATTTTGGGACATTTCTGCCTTCACTTGCATGGGTTGATAGAGTAAGTGGTTTAGAAGCAAAAGTGGAGAGAGTTGCAAAGGAGATGGATGAGTTTCTTGAGGGAGTAGTGGAAGAACATTTAGATAATCATAAAAGGGTGACTAACTTATTGGGTAGAAGAGTGGAGAATGAAGGCAGAGAGGATTTTGTTGATGTTTTGCTTGGGATTTACAAGCAAAACATGGCTGACTTTTCAATTGACAGAGATAGTATCAAAGCTCTCATTGTGGTAAGTTGTTTCTGCATTGAACTCTGTAATTATCTCACTAAAATTTTAAATTGCTAAAAAAGACATACTTTTATTTACTTAAATTACATCCGCATTCCTGTGTTTGGCCTGAGCCGGACACATGAAAATTAATATGTAAACACATGAATAGCTATGCAGGAAAAGAAAGAAATTGCAGAATTAGACATCAGATATTGTTGATTTGTTTTTGAACGGCGTGAATGGGAAATGGAAGAAACACTTCTTGGAACACATTTTCATCTCATTCTTTTATTGTCTATAAATTTAGAGGCTTAACCTCATTTTTCATACATGGAAAATCTGAAAATTTCTCCCGTCTTTTCTACATTGTTGCATTGTTTTTCCCAATAAACATAAGTGTCAAGTGTGATTTGCTCCGTTTGTTAAGTCGATGAAGTTCTATGATTTGTAGTGCTACTATTACAACATAATTATTCTGTTATATCATATGAGGAATTAATTCAAAACCTTGGACAACAATAAGGGGATTAAGTATCTTAAAGACATACAAGCAACTTACGGACTCGGAATAATTTTTTGTTTTATTTATTGAACTAATGTTACTTTGTTTCTCTGAATTTCTGGTTTTGAACACAGCTTACCAACAGATATTCATATGCATGCATCGGCTAGTTAGTATTTTGCTTTAGTTCTCGATCTTTTCCCCCATACAAATGACATTAGCTCTCAGGTAGAGTATCAATTACTAATGATACGGCATGAATGTGGGTAGCAAGATTAATAACTCCAAATGTATTGTTTGTATCGTAGAGAGCATGCTAATTGCTTCCATTCTAATTAACGCAAATCATTCCTCACAATAAGTTGATGCTGGTACAATTAAATGTTATTATTTACTCCTATTCTATTATGTGTATAATATGATGTAGCTAGCTGCTAGCTAGTCGTAGATTTATATTATAGAGATACAACAACAACAACTCAGTGGGATTCCACAAGTGGGGTCTGGGAGGGTAATGTATATGCAGATCTTACCCCTACCCTGGAGGATAGAGAGGTTGTTTCCGAAAGACCCTCGGCTTGAGAGCAAAGAATAGGAACAAGTAAATAACAACAACAAGGCAAGAAAAATGATATCAATAATGTAAGGATCGGAGAAAAAATAAATTGAAGAAATCAATAGCAATAGCTTATATTATAGAGATATGAAGACGCCAAATATCACCATTTTATAGTAATTGAATGGCGAAGGAATTTATTTAGTTATGACCCGCTATAGCTCCTTTAAATATGTTGATAGAAACTAAGGATCCAGCAAATTATATAGAGAACCAAGTTCTCTTTTAGTTTCCATTGAAACGCACGCACACTGCAGTAAGTAAATGACACAATGAAATTTTACGTGGAAAACTCCCAACTCACGGGATTAAAAATCACGACCTACCCTTGTAGGATTTCAACTTCACTACTGAGCAACTTTAGATTACAACCTATTGTAACCTAAGAATTAAAACTCGTAATCCCTCACTAACTTATAACAACTCTATTACAAGCCCCTTTGTAATAACTCTATTACAAAGCTTACAACTCGACTAACTCTAGCCAAGACACAAACACAAGGTTTATGATTTTACAAAAGTTTCCTACACAATGCTTCTAACTAAGCTAAGTAGGAATCACAAGTAAAGTACTTTAACAAAGGTGCAACACAACTAAGGACATGTAATGACTCAATACAGGAAACTGGTCCTTTGTTATGTTGTTCTTTGTTCTTGATGCCCTTGAGAATCGCTCGATGGATTGATACACAGACTTGAGAGAATGCTCGATGGATTTTTCAATGTTCAAGTGATGTTTTGCCATTAATTTAATGTTAATATTACATAGGTGACATCACTTGAATGATGCAAGCATATTTGGTACAAGGGCATTCTCAATGAAGTTGACTGTTACAATGTTTTGCATTGTTGAGTGTGCAGGCAGCAACTTTACTGTTGTTGGGAGGTTGACTGGGACGGTCACCAAGGGAACTGGTATCCATCTGTTCCCCTTGTTGTTTCTTTGACTCTTAAGAGATGATTCGCCTCCCCAGCTTGAGACTTGTTATGCTCACGTACTTGAGGATGTGTATCAGGTTCCTTATCTGGTTCTTATCAGTAAATTTGTTAGATCATCAAAACATAACACGAATGCATATATCCTATCAATTTCCCCCTTTTTGATGATGACAAACTTATAATTGAAGTTCCCCCTAAGAACCAGAATTCCCCCTAAATCTGTTGTTCCATATCTTGTTCCCCCTCAACTTACTCTCCCCCCTTTTGAAATCATAAAAAGATTAGTAGCAAGCAATAAGAAAAAAGAAGTCTAGCTTGATTAACTCATGCCACATGTGTACACACACCATGACATAAAATAGAGCAAAAGAGAAAGACATACACAGCAAAAGGACGAAATTATCATAAAGCTTTGGAAATAAAACAGGGAGCAGTTTCATTGTTACCAAATCATCCACAAAATAAAAATAACAAAAGGTACCAGTCTTAAACATCTCTAAGCATAAGAAAAAAAGAACAAAGGACAGACACTAAGAACTTGACACTGGGAAGGGGACAGCTTTTAAGGAGCACTGGAATGGGGAGCACTGGAGGTAGAGGAAGAGGCAAGGGTTCAAAGAACGATGTCCATTCGAGCATTTGCGGACACCTGCTCGGTTAGCAACCTTTCCTTCAGGTCCTCAACCTGTTTCCTGAGAGCAGCATTTTCCTTTGTCAGACGGGCAACCTCTATGCTTTAGGAACTACTAGAACCAGATGCCTCCTGGGCCTGACTGAGCTGACCTTCGAGAATGACATTTTGTGCCTTCGGCTTCCTTATTTCTTCAGTGGAAACATTTTGAGCGTTGATCAGCTGAGAGATGGTGGAATTGTTGCCAACCCCTCCACTCCTATCAATGCACTCACACTCTTCAAGGGTGGTTTTGGAGAACGATTGCTTGCGAATTCCTACCTTAGCCTTTCCCAAGGGAACTTTAAAGAATTTAAATACTTTAGTGAGGAGGAACCCGTAAGGCAACCTATGATTTTCATCCTTGAACTCTACCACTTTCTTCATGTGCTCTATCATAAGACCAGGCAGGTTTATAGTGGTGTAGCCATCCAGTGCTTCCATGAGAACTAAGACTGATCATGATGTAATGGAGCGTCTTTCAGTACGTGGGTGCAAAACTTTGTTCACCATTTCCAATAGCAGTTGGTATACTGGAAGGAGAGCTTTCTTGTATACCCGTTCCCCTTGTTGCACTGCCTTATCCTTTATGATGGCATTTCTGAATGGAGGACATCCCATCAGTAGGCACGCCCAAAATGGTTCCTAGTACAGTAATATCCATCACAAAATCAACATCATTCACCTTCAGGCAGATGTTATCATCCTCAACTGTGAAGAAGTCAACATAGAAACTACGCACTTCTGCCTCATATACCTTGGTACTGTCACTTGTGAACAAATGTGTCCACTGTTGGAATTCACAGATATCCACCAGTTGGTGCATTTCTGACATGTCAAGAATATCAGGGGCAAATGCACGGCCCCACAGCACCTTTTGGTTTCTCAAATTTTCCCTTCCAGCATCCCGGGTCGCACCAACCTTGGCCTTTTTGGAGGAACCAGGTTCCATACTGTCACCAGCCTTCCTTTTCACTGATTTTCTTGCACTTTTTCTTTTCTCGGCAGATTTCTCAGACACCTGTTCAACCAACTCTTCAGTCACTTTCTTCCCAGATTTGGAAACTACTTTCTCATCAGATTTGTCAACTACTTGCTCACCAGATTTTTCACCCTCAATATTGCTGAAACCCATCTCACTCAAAGATGACTCTTTCTTGGACTTTGGAATTGTAAGTTTCTTTGAGGACTTACGAACTAAGGAACTAGGTTCCTCATCCACTTCATCATCAATATCGACAGCTAGTGTTGGAGGCACTACTTTCTTATTTACAATCTTCCCATCCTTTACCAATCTCCTCTTCTTCTATTTTTCTTTCCTTTTCCTAAGAATTAACTCAAGAGCTTCCTTCTTCTGCAACCTAGTGGTAGGTCTCTTAGGAGTTGACTCTTGGGGAGTTGCCTGTCTACTCATAACCCCGATGAAGCTCACAAGAGCCACATTATCATAGTCATCTTCACTATCCCTATTCTCCTCCTCAGATAAAGATCTCATTTTAGGGACAATAATGGACAATGGCTCCGCATAGAAATAAGGAGAGGGAGCAGGATCAGTACTAACCTGGGGTTCTTGTAGAGAACCAAGAGTTTTATCCCAAGTAGAAGAAGAGGGCTCCTCTTGGGTGGAGGGATCAGGTCCCTCAGTTGGTTCCCCAGTAGTATTGTCAAGTGCCAAAGTATTGACAGGCACCAGTTCCCTACTCTCTACGTGTGTACCATTTTCTTCCCCCTAAGACCCATTGGCTTCAGACACACCCTCATAACCCCAATAAGACTTCCCTCATCAGTTATTGACAGAATATTTTCTATAGCCTCTTGTTCTGGTAACTCTAAGGTAAACTCAGAAAACATAGGAAGAGCATTACCTGTAGAATCGGCAGCATACAGATCAAGGCATGGGGTAGTCTTTACCGATTCATCACTGTTACAACCCACTCCTTGTATCCCAGAACTTTCTTCCACTGGTCGACTAGAAATTTCCTGATTTTCTTTTTTAGCCACTGTATCTGGTTCTACCATTTTTTTCGATGTGTCAGAAGGAGAGGACGCTGCCATAAATTTCTTGGGAGTCGAGGTTTTATGACTCCGATGAGAGCCACTACTCGACTGAGTTGGAGAGGAACCAATAGGTGGTTTTGCCTCTAGCTAAGGGTTTGGACTAGATGGTGTAGGGATTGTGGCCTCTAGCACTGGTGTTTCAATGGGTGAAGACACAGTGGGGACGATGCTTGGAATATTCTGAGTTTCCAGATTTTCAGACATGGTGGAGGGTAGTAAGAATTTGATGAAATAAGAGAGGGTTTGGTTTGAAAGAGAAATTTTTGGTTTTGATGTGAACAGTTATGATAGTGACCGTGAGAGAAGCTATTTAAGAGGGGTGAGGGACCGGTTAGGAACGGGTATCAATTTGGGTAGACGGGTCATTTCCTAATGGGTAGGACGCTTGAGTTCCAAAAGGAGAGAGAAAAGGAAAGACTGACATTTTAATGACGTTGCACCATTTTAGCCGTTAAAAAGATGTGGATGAGAGTACATAGAAACTACTAACCTGTGTTAAAGGAACTAGGTTCCCTCACAGATTTTGTAAATGTGAACTTCATCCTTTGACTAAAATGAGATATCATTGGCTACTTGTTTGCTCTGTAATCGTCATGTGTGTCTACCTGAAACGGTATAAAGATGAGTTAGACTTTTCCAGAAAATACTTTTTAGCCATTTTACCTGCACATTTCTTTCATAACCAATCATTGAGGGACCAGGTCCTTAGCTTGATTTTATCAACCCTAGTTCCAAGCGGTTCCTTTCAAAGTGCTCTCTACTCAGTGCTTTGGTGAAGATGTCTGCAATTTGATCTTCTGTGCTGTAAAATTTCATGCAAATGAGCCATTTTTCAACATTATCTCTGAGGAAGTGGTGTCGCACATCAATGTGCTTCGTTCTCTTATGTTGAACCGTATTCTTGGCCATGTTGAGAACATTTGTGTTATCACATAGTAAGGGCACACAGTCAAAAAATACACCATAATCTTCCAGCTGCTGCTTGATCTATAGCAATTGAGCACAGCAAGAGGCAGCCGCCACATATTCAGCTTTAGTAGTTGAAAGAGCCACTGAGTTTTGTTTTCTTGTACCCCATGAGATCAGACATGATCCCAGAAAATATGCCATACTAGAAGTGTTTTTCCTATCCACCAGATAACCAGCATCTTTCAATTCTTCCTTGATATTTTCTGGCTCAATTTGAGAGAGAAAAGCTGAGAAGGCAAGCACGTTTCTTGTTTTTGATTTGGTTTGAATTCCTGAGTCAAGAGGAGTGATCACATTTTCAAGAGGATGTGAACTTTTGTGTTTCCAGTTAAACACTTGAACCTCATTGTGGGAAGGTCCAGGTATTTCTGAATGTGATCCTTAGTTGTCGTGAGTTCTGCTTCTTACCTCAGCATGTGGGGTGCCTTGTACAGCAACAACAACTCTTTTTTCAGCTTCAGTTATTGTGATTGAGGAACTAGGTTCCTCCCCATCAGTTGGAGATATGACTGCACCATCATCATTTGATTCCTTGACGTGGCTCATCATGTCAGCTTTTCCATTTGCCATGTCAATGACTTCACCAGGGACAATTGATTGTTCTCCATTTTGATCAACCTTATCATATGAGTCCTTCCCACATGAATGGTGAGATTCATCAAAGATCACATGTATACTTTCCTCAACGCATTGAGTTCGTTTGTTGTATACTTTGTAGGCTTTGTTTTGTGATGAATAACCTAGAAAGATCTCTTCATCACTTTTGGCATCGAACTTTCCCAGTGCTTCCTTGCCATTATTGAGAACAAAGCATTTGCACCCAGATGTCCTTAGATATGTCAGCTTGGGCTTCCTCCCGTTCAGTAGTTCATATGGGGTTTTGTTCAGAAGGGACCTGATCATGCACATGTTCACCAAGTAGCATGCAGTGTTGATGGCTTCTGCCCAAACATTTATGCAATGCCACTGTCGATCAATATTGTTCTTGCCATATCTTCAAGGGTCCTATTCTTCCTCTCTACAACACCATTTTGTTGAGGTATTCTTGGAGCTGAAAAATTATGAGTGATGCCATTTTCAGCGCAGAATTCATCGAATTTGGCATTAGCAAATTATGTGCCATGATCGGACCTTATACTTAATACATTATGGCTCATCTTCACTTGGATCTTCTTCACAAATGCAACAAATACTTCAAAGGTTTCATCCTTGGATCTGAGAAACAGAGTCCATGTGAATCTGGAATAGTCATCCATAATAACAAAGATGTACTTATTTCCTCCTCTACTTGGCACTCTCATAGGTCCACATAGATCCATATGGAGGAGATCAAGTGGCCTTGAGGTACTAATTTCCTTTTTGGGCTTGAAAGAAGATCTGACTTGCTTTTCTTTTACACATGCATCACAGGCCTTGTGATTCTTGAAGCTTGAGTTGGGCAAGCCACGAACCAGGTCCTTCTTGACCAATTTATTAAGCAACATAAATCTTGCATGGCCCAGTCTTTTGTGCCATAGTTCAGCATCATCATCTACAACACTCAGAAAACTGAGATCCCCATTTTGCGGGGATTCAAAGTCAGCAACATAGATATTTTTTGTATCTTTTAGCCACCAAAACCACTTCATCAATCACAAGATTTGTGACCGTGCATATTTTTGACACAAATTCCACTTTTTTCCCCTTGTCACAGATTTTGGGAGACACTTAGCAAGCTGTACTTCAACCCGTTCACGTAGTACATATTTTTAATAAAGTGAGAAAGAGACTTTCCAATCCTTCCAACTCCCAGAATGTATCCCTTATTGCAGTTTCCAAAGGACGCACTCCCTCCTTGCAGGGCCTTGAGTGAAAGGAAATTATTTGTGCTTCCAGTCATGTGCTTCGAGCAGCCACTATCCATGTACCATTGTTGGCTGCTCCCTTTCACTGCTCCCTGCACAAGAAAATCAAGGGTTAGACTTAGGAACCCAAACAAGTTTGAGTCCCTTGTAATGAGGAAAGGGATGAATCAGGACTCTTCTGGTTCAAGCAGGCATCACATGTTTTTTTATACGAGGGACCAGGTTCTTTAGCAGTAGTTACCTTTTTAGCAAAAACTTTATTTTTCTGTTGAGACTGAAATCTGGCCTTACAGGTTTCCTTAAAGTGCCCAGTATTACCACAGTGAGTGCAGAGCCAGTTATCAGGTACAGTAACGCACTTGCTATGAGGGTTGTATGGAGTCTTTTCCCTTTGAAACCTTATTCCTTGCATGTTTACCCCATTGTTCTTATACATAGCAGTGATAGAATCAGAGGACCAGGTCCACTTGAGTGATTTTTCTAGATCACTCTTAACTCTTCCTAGATCTTCCTGAAGTTGCTTATTTTTCTCTAGTTCGGCACATAGACTGATTTTACTGATTTTACTGATTTTAACTCATCTTCAATCCTAAGATGTTCCTCACTTGCAACTTCCTTTCCCTTTCGAGTAATCTCATGACCACCTTCTCCTTTTTGTTCATCAATTGTTTCCTTTAGGTCCACAACTACCACTAATAGGTCATCTCTCTCATGCTCTATATTAGCTACCTTTTCAGTTAAGGCTTTTTTCTCTTTTTTAAGAAACTCAATGGTCTCTTTTAAATCAACCACAACAACCGTTAGGTCATCTCTCTCATGTTCTATGTTTGCAATTATTTTAGCTAGGGCATCTTTTTCTTTTTTCAAACTCTCAATGGTTTCTTTTAAATCGACCACACAAACTACTAGATCATCTCTCTCATGTTCTACTTCTCCTAGTTCCACAGTTAATGCATTTTTATTATTTATAAGACTGTGATAAGCATCAATTAAAATATTTTCCAAAGACATAAGTTGTTTTGGAGAGTAAGACTTCAGATTTCCTTGAACATCTAGAAAGTTTACCTCATCGTCAGATTGTGCCATCAAGGCAAAAATAGTGTTATATTCAGTTGCTTCACTCTCTACTGCCATCATGGAGTTGTTGCCTTTTTCATCATCTTTTCCAGATTCACTGTAATAGTCTCCCCATATAGCAAGAGCTTGTTTCACAACGTTGTCAGCAACATCTTTTCTTTTGAACCATTTGTCAGGAACCTGGATCCTCTTAGTTGATTAGTCTGTGTTATGTTTGTACTGATCTTGCTTGAGGAGAGGGAAATATTTGATGAAATATCCTGACTTCCCACACTTATAACATAGGTCATAGCCTCTTTTCTTGTCGGAGCTGCCCCGTTTTGGAATACCTTCATTTCTGCGAACTATTTTCTAAAACCTCTTTGTCAAGTAAGCCATATCAGCATCCTCACCACTTGATTCATTGTTGTCTGTCTTGAGTACCAGGTTTTTCTCCCTTTTGGGCTCTCTTCTATCATTGTCCTTCTTTTTCTTCATTTCATAAGTTTTCAGATTCCCAATGAGTTCATCAATGGTCAGCTTCTGTAGATCCTTTGCCTCGTGATAGTATTTACTTTGCTTTTCCGGGAACTAGGTAATACGCTAAGTATTTTCCTGATAGGTTTGTTCCTTGGAATAATTTCTCCTAGAGAATGGAGCTCATTGATGATAGAGGTGAAGCGAGTGTGCATGTCCTGAATGGACTCATCATCCTTCATCCTGGAGAGCTCATATTTTGTGATTAGCATATCAATTTTCGACTCCTTGACTTGAGTTGTCCCTTCATGAGCTGTTTGGAGAGCTTCCCAGATCTCCTTAGCGGATTGACATGCTGAAATCCTATTATATTCGTCTGGTCCAATATCACAGACGAGAAATTATTTTTGCTCAACAGTTCTTCTCTATGGCCTTGCGATCGGCATCGTTGAATTCCTTTCTTTTTTTGGGAACTGTTACTGCTGGGTCACCACTGGTCTTCATAGGGACGAAGGGTCCATCGCAGATAACATCCCAAAACTCTGAATCTTCAGCCATGATAAAATCATGCATCCTTGTCTTCCACCATCCATAGTATTGGCCGTTGAATCTTGGTGGTCTATAGTAGATTGACCTTCTTCAAAGTTTGGTGGAGCAGCCATGAGGATCCTTTCTAGGTGTTAGCCTGATAGAAAGAACCTGATCTGATACCAATTGATAGAAACTAAGGATCCACCAAACTATATAGAGAACCAGGTTCTCTATTAGTTTCCACTGAAACGCACGCACACTGCAGTAAGTAAATGATACAACGGAATTTTACGTGAAAAACTCCCAGCTCACAGGATTAAAAACCACGACCTACCCTTGTAGGATTTCAATTTCACTGCTGAACAACTTTAGATTACAACCTATTGTAACCTAGGAATTAAAACTCTTAATCCCTCACTAACTTATAACAACTTTATTACAAACCCCTTTGTAATAACTCTATTACAAAGCTTACAACTCGACTAACTCTAGCCAAGACACAAACATAAGGTTTATGATTTTACAAAAGTTTTCTACACAATGCTTCTAACTAAGCTAAGTAGGAATCACAAGTAAAGTACTTTGACAAAGATGCAACACAACTAAGAACATGTAATGACTCAATACAGGAAACTGGTTCTTTGTTATGTTGTTCTTTGTTCTTGATGCCCTTGAGAATCGCTCGCTGGATTGATGCACAGACTTGAGAGAATGCTGGATGGATTATTCAATGTTCAAGTGATGTTTTGCCTTTGGTTTAATGTTAATATTACATAGGTGATATCACTTGAATGATGCGAGCATGTTTGGTATAAGGGCATTCCCAATGAAGTTGACTGTTGCACTATTTTACACCATTGCGTGTGCAGACAGCAACTTTGCAGCTATTAGGAGGTTGACTGGTACGGTCACCAAGGGAACTGATGTCCATATATTCCCCTTGTTGTTTTTTTGACTCTTAAGAGATGATTTACGTCCCCAGCTTGAGACTTGTTATACTCACGTACTTGAGGATTTGTATCAGATTCCTTATCTGGTTCTTATCAGTAAGTTTGTTAAATTATCAAAACATTACACGAATTTATATATCCTATTATATATTTTCGGAAAACATGTGGTAGCTGAAGACAGATGTACCTTCACTACAATGTTGTTAAAACTTAACCAATACTATGTTTTTGCTAACTTTATTTCAACTCTCTGATGGTTAATATCCATACTAATTTAATTTAAATATCAATAGAGAATAATATCTGCTGCCCTGAGATCTCAGATCTTCACCGACTTCCCATGATGACATAAACGATGTGATTTATGGCCAATAACACCATTAATTTGGTGGTATTATTGGTAATCAATCACATCACTTAATTATATATCTTTATAATCTGTCCTTGTCATTTTCTTCTTGTTTTGTAATTTAATTTATTAACCAAAACGACTGCTCTTTGTTAGGACATCTTTGCGGGAGGAACTGATACAACTTACACTCTGTTGGAATGGACGATGACAGAGCTTCTAAGTCATCCTAATGCCATGAACAAACTCCAGGATGAAGTGAGAGAAATAGGTAAAGGGAAGAAAGAATTAGTGTGTGGGGATTACTTAGACAAAATGCATTACTTAAAAGCAGTTATTAAAGAAACACTGCGCTTACATCCTCCGATTCCTCTGTTAGTTCCTCGACAAGCAAGACAAGATGTTAAAGTAATGGGCTATGATATTAAAGCTGGAACTATGGTTATAACTAATGGTTGGGCTATAGGGAGAGACCCTGCAATTTGGGATGATGCGGAGGAATTTAAGCCAGAGAGATTCTTGAATTCGTCGATAGACTTTAAAGGGCATGATTTTGGATTGATACCATTTGGAGCAGGAAGAAGGGGATGTCCTGGGATTTCATTTGCGATGGCTACTAATGAGCTTGTGTTAGCAAATGTTGTGAAGAATTTTAATTGGGAGTTGCCAAAGGGGCAAGATCTGGATATGACTGAATGCACTGGTTTAACCACTCACAGGAAAGTCCCTCTGCTTGCTGTTGCAACTCCTAATGTGATCCAAGAATGAGAAAAAAACAGGAATGTGGACGTAAAATCGTAAAAGGGTGTTACTCTTTATTTAACGACGGAAGTATACTATTAGTAGTAATTAAGATTATATTTGATTAGATGTTTGGAAGTTACTTGATAACAGCTATATTTTCGTTGTTCGCTTAAACCTGGACTTCGAGAATTTGAGTTAGTATCAAAACCAGATGGAGAATTAAGGAAGGAAGGTGAAAGAAAAATGATGGCAAATTACACATTCAAAATGTTGGAGCATATAATGCTTGAGAACTGATAGCACCGTGATTACACAACATAGTGAAAACATATGAACTGCCAAAGAAATGTGCACAAAATTTCAGTATTCCTACGGCGTGAATATCACCTGCGATCATATTTTGTAGTCTTTTGAGTGCTGCCTGAAATAATTGGAAAATTAATTCCTTTTGGCAAGAGAGTATTCATAAATGATTTTCATATCCTTTATAAGATCAAAGTTATATCAGGTATTTTGTCCTTCATGTATACTTAAAAAACAAATTAACAAAAAAGGTGTTCATATAGTACTTGTTATGAATAAAACATAATATGCTGGAAGTTTATACGCATGAGCTCTATTATCCTGCATATAATGCTGAAACTTTCTGTGTTTCAACAAAATAATGGCTATTTTTTTAATAATTTTACAAACGCTGGCTATTTTTTAATTATCAGTCCGAAAACTGGCTAATCCGTGCTATTTTTACCTCTTTTGCTCGTGTTGGCCGGGGTACACGAATGGGCCGTAGGACATCAAGTGAATGGCCTTTTGGGCTTTCAGGAAAGAGAGTTTGTTGGGCCAAGAAATCATGTCGGATACCATTTATATTTTGACCCTGTTAAGAAAAAATTTGAAAAAATAGTTCGAGGCTAGAATTTTGAAGCACCGGAAATTCTGCAGTATGCTTAAACATTCTGGCAGCATGTTTTAAATTTTGGCAGCATGCTTTAAAATATTGGCATCGTGCTTCAAATTTTGGCAGCATGCTTTAAAATTCTGACAGTGTGCTTCAAAAGTCTGGTAGTGTGCTTTAATTCTAGCGGGGGGCTATTTTTTAAAACTTTTTTTAACGTTGTCAAAATTTGAACAATGACGCTAAATTGTGCGAATCGCCCGCTCGGTCACGAGTAGAGATCTAGCTTTTAGTATTTCACACTTTAAAAAAAAAAAAAACTTTCGTCTCATTTAAAAGTAAAAGATCGTGAAAAGAACGGTGAAATAACTCCACCAACAAAACTTTTTTATGCAATTATGTTTCTTTTTTTTTAATCTTTATTTTTTGAGCTCGAGCAAATTTGTTAAATAAAATTATACCACATTTAAGAACTTGTCATGATGTTATAAATTCACTGAAAGTTGATCATGGATAAGAGGAAGCGGAACTAAAATCCAAGGCTCAGGATTCCGCCTTGCAAGAATACCTTTTTGCTTAGTGATCATGTATTATAAGTGTATTATGTTTAGAGTAGAATACTCCTTTTCAGCTTATCATATCTATATATACGGTCGAAATAGATTTCGGCCTTTGCACGTCTGATCGAGTTCGAAAGATAATCGATCGAAGTGAGACTTCGAGATGGGTTCCGAAGATGAAACAAACAAGCTTCGAACTCGAGAGGCCGATCAATGTCGAGTTCGATATTGTTATCGAGCTCGAATCCAAATCGAATTATAATGCAGAGTAAAGCTATCAAGCTTGTGATCGAGAGACCGACCAGCATTGGCCCCGAATCAATTCAAGGGTCCGAGTCAGAATCGAGCTTAAGCCAAAGATCGAGAGCTCGAGTTAGTATCAGGCTCAAGCCGAGATCAAGAGCTCGAGTCAGATCGGGCTCACATACAAAAGTCATTGCAATCCCACTAGATGAGAGAATCTTGGCAGGAATTTGGGAAAAGCTATTCTATCATAGGTTCCCCACTATTTATTTTTAATTATATTCAAAGTAGGATCCCTCCACTATAAGAGGGATAGACTATTATTTCTGTAAGGATCCAACATCAAGGGCATACATACACTCTTATAGTCAGATATTACTATTGACAAAGAAATAGAGGAGAGATTATCCTCTTATGAGCTTTATACATTGATTCATTTTCCTAGTTCATACAATCGCTTTCTAATTCAATATTGGTTCGTATTTTATTCTTTACAGGTCAATATTCGATATATTTCTACTTATTTTCTGATTTGTGCCAAGTTGTACCACGTATCCTTTGAACTACGTATAAATTCAACTCTATCCATTTTTCTGGTAAACAGTTTGGCGCCCACCGTGGGGCTAAGGATAACAGTGGTTATTTGATACGAATCTGAAAAAATACGCCATTGTGTTTTGCGCTTGTTTTCAAAATATCTTGAATTTAGGATTAGCTACGATTAACCATCAATCAAATAGCTTCACCGATCGATAACGGGGTCGGTCTTCAAGACGAAAATAACAACTTGACACCCAGTACTGAGAGACCACTTGTAAACGCCGTTGGAGTTCGAATCGGAGCGCCAATTGGTATCAATTCACATGTGGCCATTGAGGCGAACCTACATGCTGAACCCGAGAATAGCATCCATAGTGGCACTCGGTCTGCGGCTCGAGATACCCATAACATCGAGGAAAACGGCGTTAGCTTGCGTATGATTTTCGAATTGTTGGAAGCCCAACAAGCAGCAATAACTCAGTTGCATAGCCAAACCCAGCTACAAAGCAGGCCGGAGCCCAATCCACCCCGATAAATCACCCACAGAACGGAACCAGCCATAGTGAAGTCAAATGAGCAAGAATCGGGGACTACTCCCGAAATTGCTAAATTGCTCGAGGAACTCACAAAGCGAGTCAAAGCCAACGATAAAGAAGAAGAAACTTATAACTCTAGGGTCAATCAGATCCCAGGAGCTCCACCAATGATAAAAGGGTTGGATTCAAAATATTTCGTGCAAAAACCTTTTCCCTCGAGCGCAGCCTTGAAACGAATCCCTAAAAAAAATCCATATGCCCGAAATTTCCAAATATAACGGAACGACCGATCCCAACGAGCACGTCACTTCTTACACATATGCATCAAGGGCAATGATTTAGAAGACGATGAAATCGAATCTGTGTTGTTAAAAAAATTCGGAGAGACCCTTTCGAAGGGAGCAATGATTTGGTATCACAACCTACCACCAAATTCCATCGACTCGTTCGCCATGTTAGCAGATTCTTTTGTGAAAGCACATTCCGGTGCCATAAAAGTCACAACAAGGAAATCGAACCTCTTCAAGGTAAGACAAAAGGATAACGAGATGCTGAGGGAGTTCGTATCCCATTTTCAAATGGAACGAATGGACTTGCCAACAGTCACAGACGATTGGGCTGTTCAGGCTTTCATCAAGGTTTGAACGAGCAAAGTTCGACGGTTTCACGGCGATTAAAGCATAACCTGATCGAATACCTAGCCATCACGTGGGCCGACGTACATAATCAGTACCAATCAAAAATTAGGGTCGAAGATGATCAATTGGGGTCTGAACCCGTTGTTCGAAGGGATACTAATCGAGAACGAGGTCCGATCGGGGATCGATACCAACCGTACAACGGAAGCCACAGAGTCAGTGAATCGAGACATAACCTCAGACAAAATAACAAAAGAAGTGATCGAGGTCAAGGGTCCCGGGGGCTGATGAACAGAGGTAGGTTCGATAGGCCTGCAGGATCTAAGGAAGTACCTCGGTTATCGGAAAATAACTTCAGCATTGATGCATCCGCCATCGTATCGGCTATCAGATGCATCAAAGACACTAAATGGCCTCGACCCATGCAGACTGATCCTGCCTAGAGGAATCCCAATCAAATGTGTGAATATCATGGCACCCATGACCATAGAACGGAAGATTACAGGCAACTAAGAGAGGAAGTAGCCCGGTTATTTAACAAATGGCACCTTCGGGAATTTTTGAGCGATTGGGCGATGAACCATTTTAAAAACAGGGATTTCGGCAAGCAAAACGAACAAGAAGAACCACAACACGTCATTCACATGATCATCGGCGGCACCGATACCCCTCAGGGACTAGTGCTTAAACGCACTAAGACATCGATTGTGAGAGAAAAGTGATCTCGAACTCAAGATTACACACCCATAGAAACTTTGTCCTTCAATGATGAAGATGCAGAAGGAGTCATACAACCTTATAACGATGCACTGGTAATATCCGTACTCATGAATAAAACTAAAGTTAAGCGTGTGTTGATTGATCCAGGTAGCTCGGCCAACACTATCAGATTGAAGGTCGTAGAACAACTTGGCCTGCAGGACCAGATCGTACCCGCAACCCTAGTTCTAAACAGATTCAATATGGCATGTGAAACCACCAAAGGCGAGATAATTCAACCAATAAACGTGGTCGGAACCATCCAAGAAACGAAGTTCCACGTAATCGAAGGCGACATGAGATACAACTCCCTTTTCGGAAGGCTATGAATCCACAACATGAGAGCTGTACCTTCGACTTTACACCAGGTCCTCAAATTCCCAATATCGAGAGGAGTCAAAACAGTGTACGGAGAACAACCAGCCGTAAGAGAAATGTCCGTCGTCGAGGAAGCGAAACTGATATCCTCGCCTTTGCCAGTAAAGGGATCGAGCTTAGAAGGGGAACGAGATACCAAATAGCAATCACAGACATCGGCTTTGACCCAACTAGATAACCAGAAGATCAAAGAAGATGATGATCAGAGGATCCCTCGATCCTTCGTGATTCCCGATGACTCCGACGCCACCAAATCAACAATTGAGGAACTGGAGCAAGTCACACTAATCGAGCACTGGCCCGAACGAAAGGTATACCTGGGAACGGGGTTGAGCCCCGAACTCAGGAAGAAACTTATTCAATTTCTTATCGATAACATTGATTGCTTTTCCTGGTCCCATCTAGATATAACAGGGATCCCACCGGACATAATGACGCATCGGCTAAACTTGGACCCTAGGTTCAGATCGGTGAA